AAGTTCGTATAAATGTATGTCCTAAAATGCTTAGTTTCGGAGATACAGGGTGTAGAAGTTTCATTTTTATTTCGATTTTTTCCAAATAATTTCTGAAGTTATGGCGCCCTCTAGTAGAGGGCGCCACCTACATATGTTTTAACTGGTTTGAAGAATAATAACTTTTCGTCCGTACCTGTATAAAACTACTGAATAAAAAAATATACATTTACAATGTTTTTTACGTGAAAAAGGTCTCTTGGTAAAAACCGTTACGAGTAATGGTTTTCGAGATATTTGGAATAGAAATTATCAATACCTGTCATCATTGACATAAATTAAAGATGTTGACTAAATAGTTATTAAACTCAAATCGTAAATTTGAAATGTTTTTGTTCCAAATGTCCAACAGAAACTGTTATATCATCATTTTTTGCAAAAAAAATTATGATTAATTTAAAAAAATTAAAATTTCCCAAATTTATTATTTCAGCGAAATAACTATCTACTTAACGTGTTTATTTTTCGTCAATAGAGAACAACGGCATACGGTCGAGTCGGCCGCTCCTGGCACGTATACGTAGACGTAAAGAATCTTTTACGTGTATAAAAAATAGAAAATATAAGAAATGCGCATGCGTATGTAAACGTTTACGTGTTTGTAGGCCGATTCGACCGTATGCCGTTGTTCTCTAATAATGATATGTATTTACTATTTCCATTCTAAATATCTTAAGAACGGTTGCTCGTAGCGATTTTTACAAAGAGATATTTTATACGTAAAAAATCACAGAGATGTATATTTTTTCGCTCGGTAGTTTTATACAGGTACGGACAAGAAGTTATTACGCTTCAAAACAGTTAAAACACACGTAGGTTGCGCCCTCTACTAGTAGGAGTCATATTGACATCAAAATCAAATTTCTCATGTCAAAAAACTCCCAGATATCAATTTTCATCCAAATATTGACGTTATTTCAGTTTCTATATACAGGGTGGCCCGAACTGTATTCCGGAAACTTCGGCAGCATATTCTGCAGATAAAAATAAGTAAAAAGTTCGTGTAAATGTATGTCCTAAAATGCTCAGTTTCGGAGATACAGGGTGTAGAAGTTTCATTTTTATTTCCATTTTTTCTAAATAATTTCTGAAGCAACGTCAATATTTGGATGAAAATTGGTGTCTGGGAGTTTTGTGACACGATAAATTTGATTTTGATGTCAAAATGACTCTTATTTGTAGGGAGCTACATGCGTTTTGACTGTTTTGAAAAGTAATAACTTTTCGTCCGTACCTGTATAAAACTACTAACTAAAAAAATATACATTTCCATGACTTTTTACGTAAAAAATGTCTCTTGGTAAAAATCGCTACGAACAACCGTTTTCAAAATATTTAGAATGGAAATAGTCAATACATGTCATTATTGACAAAAAATAAGCACACGTTGACTATCCTCAACGTATTTGACTGAAATAATAAATTTTTATTTTTTCTGCAAAAAAATAATTTTTAAGTTATCTATGGATGGGTTTAAATATAAATCCGTCATACGTCGTGTCTTGTTGTTTTTAACCAGTTTTATTGGTTTATTTAAAAAATGACAGATCGTATTTCAATTTTATTGGTTTGACGGAACGATGAACGATAAACGGACGCGGATGCGTATGAACTCGCCTTTAGATTTTTGTCATTTTTGACGCTTGTCAAAGTCTTGCCAAATTATAGGTTATAATTTTATGTCAACTTTTGTTAAATACCCTGCGTTTTGGAAGATGATGCATTTTGATTCGTATTATTACGTGTGTTTTGTGCCTTTTGAAGTCAAGTGGAGGAAAAATCGAGTGAAGATTAACTGTAGACCCAGAGCACAGTTTATGGTTAATACTCGCTGCCCAGGCAGAAAGTCTTATACACCAATGAAGTTGCCATCGTTAAAGTTTGTATACCATCTCGTCGTAGATAAGTGCCATCTCGTATATGGTAGAAGGATCAAACTAAACACATACTAAAAACTGGAGTAGCTGTAAAATATCGACATCACACGATAGGTAAATAATGGATTTTAGTACTGCAGAAAAATAATGTCAAAAGGTACTGGTTTAAAAAAATAAGTTTTTCTGCAAAAAAATGATGATTAAACAGTTTCTCTTGAACTTTTGGCACAAAAAGATTTGAAATTTATGATTTCAGTCTAATAACTATTTAGTCAATATGTTAACGTAGTCAACAGAGTCAACATGATAATTTCGATTCCAAATATCTCGAGAACCATTACTTATAGAGATTTTTACCAAGAGACTTTTTTATGTAAAAAAAGTTGTGAATGTATATTTTTTTACTCAGTAGTTTTATACAAGTATGGACGTAACTTTATTACTCTTTAAACCAGTTAACACATATGTAGGTGGCGCCCTCTACAAGTAGGAGTCATGTTGACATGAAAATCAAATTTCTCATGTTAAAAAACACCCAGACACCAATTTTCATCCAAATATTGACGTTACTTCATAAATTATTTGGAAAACATCGAAATAAAAATGAAACTTCTACACCCTGTATCTCCGAAACTAAGCATTTAAGGACATAATTTATACGACCTTTTTTACTTATTTTCCTCTGCAGAATATGCTACCGAAGTTTCCGGAATACAGTTCGGACCACCCTGTATATTTTCAGGATTAGTAGATCTCGATAAAAGAAACATATTTTCGCTTTACCCGTTTTCAAATAAATCCAAAATAACCGAGTTATTTTACTTTGAAAATTTAAAAAAGAAAGTATTTTTTGCTAAAATTTTGAGAACCACTGGATCTTTTCTGGATTTTCTTTCTTGTAAATTTAATCTACTACCTATGCTCCTATTAGAACAACAAATTATGTTTTTTAACTAAATACTAAAAAAAAATTCATATTTTCCATTTTTTTTTTCGCGAAAAAACCTCATAATCCTGTTTCCCGGGTCAAAATACACTAGCTCTGAAAATATATGCCTTTATTTAAGACACTCTGTTATTTTATTTTAGTCGCAAAGCCGCAAAAAACGCAAGGCCTCTTTATGCTTCTGTATACTATTTTTATTTTGAATTAGTAAGACTCACAATTTAAATATCATATCGTTTTTAAAACATTACATTATATTTTTATAACGCCTCTAAAAAATGCCAAATGGTCCAAGCCAAGTATCAACGAGTTTTAAGAGATATTTCAACGATATTTTACCAGACACATGACATTTAGATTGATTCATTTGCATAGAAAGGGAGAATACATACATATGGATGACATAAATCCAATGAAAAAAGCGTGTAATATAACGCACGACTGTTAAAAAATATATGTACATATATTTTGTAGGAGCAAAGCGTAACAATAATTATTATAATATTTTATTAATAGTTTTTTCCTAATTATTATCACACGTAATCAAATGTTTAGTGTATATAGTAATCGCAAAACAATTACCGATGCACGTGATCAACTTTGAGCGACAAGCGCTGGCGACAACGCTGCCAGATTGTTGTTGTTGATTTATGAGACGAATCTTGAGAAACAATATATTTATTATATCATTTTTTATTATATTTATTATTAAAGATTTTTTCATTTTATTCTATGTAACTTTAATGGCTCATTACTTTTAACAGCTTGTGAAACGGCACTCACGGTAGAAATATTTAAATTTAAGGCAACATCTATTCGCTACAAATTGAAATAAGTAGAAATAACTTTCAATGTGGTATAATGTGCTTTTGAATCAAACTTACGTGTCTGACGGCAGTCAAAGCTAATAAAGGACCTTTATTGTCAAGTTCTCGGTCAAAATAGTTTATCAGGAAAGCTACGAGCTCTTTGCTTCGACTGTTTAAATGCTTCGGCATATTTTCAACACACAGTTTCAAGAAATTCAATACAAAAACTCGAAAATTTAGTTCTCAAAAGAACTGTTTGTGCGTAAGGTACAATTTTTAAAAGAAGACTATGGAAATCGGCGAAAAACGAGAATTACTCACAAAGATTCAGCAACAGCACTATATTATACAAAACAATGACTGACATTATGATAATTGTCAAATAATAAACGACAACGTTGCTGATCGCCGCGCCGCGCCGCCGCGATGTGACCAACATGGCGATAATAAAAATCGCTTTAAACTAATTTTTGCAGCTTTAATCTAACTAAAATATCTGTTAAAATCATTTACACTATAAACTAAAATGAAGAGCTGCTCGGTATTGTTGCGGACCCGTGTGGACTCGACCTAACCTAACTATATGTTCCGCCCTCAGATGACCTTAACATCGCATTAAAGAATAGACACCGTAATGATTCATTCGGACGTTCGAGAAAAATCGAGTTCCACTGGAATGGAGTAGTACATACGAGAACATTCGAAACCTTCTCTATGCACCTAATGATTTATGGACTATTCGAGAAGCTCTTTAGCTGTGGGTATAAAAGCCGGCGGCTGGGGCCTGAAGGACAGACATAAATAGACGAGTACAGTTGACGCGCTAAAATTAAAAATAAATTCTTTCTAGATACATAGTTATAAATCGTTTGTAAATAGTTCTTTAAGTCTTTTATCGTTATTGTTTTTGTTAATTAGTGTTAAATAAATTGTGTTTAAATAAATTGTGACTTTCTATCCACACGGAACCGACGAAAAACGTAACAGTATCATAAATTATAAATTATACAACAAATTTAAACATTTTTGCCAAAATTTCACTTAGTCAGGTTTATAGACTTTAGTGTCATTTCGATATGTTTGATGACGTGCAGCGGAAATCGTTTTGCGATTAGTTTAGACTATTCTCGCATGATCAAAAAATCTATAATCAAGCGGGTTTAGATTGTAATAGTTAATAATGTTAGTTACTTTTAAATAAAATTGTATACGTCAACTTTTTGGTAAATACTGTAAAAATAAACAGAAAAAAAAATAGGTAAGAAAATAACAAAATATGAACTAAATTTTGAGTAAAATATCTATCTTTGAATAGATAAAAATACTTACAGATCGAATATCGTCAGAGTTATAAATTTTTCCTTTGAGAGATCCAAATTTTTCTAACAGTTTGCTGTTCCTTTCCCGTTCTTCCTTCTCTAATGCGTCCTTCAAAGCAACCATTAGTGTGTTTACTAATAATGCAGTGCGTTTTTTTGGAACAATCATCTAAAAAATTAATACAAGGTTAGTAAACTACATAACGAATAGTTCTCATGCACCTTTGGTATTATTCCAAAGAACAAATAATATTCGTAATGTTAACATCTTTTTACTAGGAAAAACTTATTACTGCCCCACAGACACTCAGTTTTTTTCTGATTTGTGCAGGCATATCGGTACATGTGTGGTTAACTTCCGACTCGGTCTATTACGTGATGGGAGCCTTACCGTTTATTGAAAGAATTGGGGCCTTACCAAAATTTAGCTGGCATTCACCTTCCAGTGTTTGCAACTCTGTGTATATGCGACAGGCAAATAGTACAGGGTGTCCCATTTTGGTTGAAATCATAGGGTATCTCCGTTTATAGTTAAGATAGAAGGGTGCGGTTTGCACAAACCTGTCCCACTTTTTTATGAAACGGAAGATGCCGTAAACAAAATTTTCTTAGCTTTCTTTGTTCCAGAGCTACAGGGTTTTTTTTAAATTTTGCAATTTGGGACACCCCCTGTATCTCTGTTATTGTTTTAAAGGTATGAAAACTGTCTATTGTAGACCTTTTTACGTAGAATACAGTGGTGTAACCTGTTATCCTACGAAAAGAATATTTTTGAAGATATGAACTAAAGTTCTGTTTTCTTAAATAGAACACCCTGTATGTTTATAAATTATATGATTTGGCTTGCCATAAGTTTCTCAAAAATATATATCACTCTATATTTATTTTTACTATTTACTGCAATATTTAAAAAAAATATTAAAAGATCATATTTATTAGTAAGCCATGATTAATAATAAAAGAGACTAAAGAATTATTAAAAGTATACTGCTATCTGTCTCTTGTTTTATTTTGGGAGTCACTAAATGCTTTATGTATTATTAGGGAAACTTACCTCTCTACCGCTATTTGTAAATCTTGGAAACTATCGTACCAGAACTTTTAGATATTCCTTTATCTAATTTACATGAAATACCGGGTGCGTTTTAAACGTGGCTCACCCCTATAACTTTTTATTTTTACAGATAAAACAACGAGATTTGGTATGTTATGTGACAAAACTTTCAAAATTTGTCCGTTAACATGGTAGTGTGGCCTTTATATAATTATAATTAAAATAATTTACTGAGCGGTAGGCAGAACTTGGATAATGAGAACACCGACTTTTCAGAGCGTAAATATAGATTATCGTTTACATATAAAAAAACAAAATATATCCAGCTAAAAATAGAAATTAAGGTATCGCACTTTTATGGTAAGAGTTCTTTCTAAATTCACTTAATATACAATTCTACTACCACTTACCTTATTACGTCAACATCCGTCAGCATTTCATCAACAACAAGAACCTGTCGAAGACTTCATTGATCTCCTTGTAGATCTTCCACTTCGGTCTTGGATTCATTCTTTACATTAAACCACTCGACCGGTTATCACAGTGTTCTTTTAGATAGTTTAATATTTTAGTGAAAAGGTGAGAGAAAAAAAATAAAATTCCGATTTTTCACAACACCTAACTATATTTAATATAAAAAAATAAATAAATGAAAATACAGAAAAAGATTTAACAAGACATTTATAATTAATGAAATAAAAAAAAAAGGAACGAAATTTAATCAAAAATAACTAATAAATGATATTAAAATTCAGAAATGATAAAGTTAAAAATATACAAAATATTCTTCTTATTAGTCTAATCTAAATTATCTAAAATTAGCATACAATTCAAATCTCTCTTAGAATTTTCATTGCCAGAAAATTAATATGTCAAAAAAATATTAACTGAACAATTGGATTTAAATTAGAATTTAATAAAAAGAACAATTGCAAAATAATCATTTGTGTGATGACATCTAACTTTTACTAAAGCCTTTAGAACAAACAGAAAGTCTTAAATCGTTAATAAAAAATATTAAAGAAAATCTAAAACAACAAATTAAAAATCTTTATACATGAAATGTTTAAAATTTCCTGACTTGAGAATTGAATATTTAAGAAAATCTTTAAATAGAAAACTTACTAAAATTATTAAAAAGAAATCACTGGATAATATAAGATCTACACGGAGTAAATTCGACCGTCTAATTTAAAAGTCAGTACCGAACTGATCCAAGAATCTATTTTCCTAAACCTCGAAATATTTAAAATGGGCGGGTAAAAAGAATAGGGAACCACCAAAAGCCGAGCCATTCTCAAATCCTCTTCGGGTTCGCTTTTCAGGAACCGTCTGATTGGTCTGAAAAAACCTCAACTACCCTGTCGTTCCCGGTCTAGTTCGCCCTACTTGTCACAGATGTCGTTACTATGACCATTTCTACATTATTTCCAAATTATTACTAATATCCGTGTAAATATTATAATTACCGTAAACACAATTACACATGATTAAATCTAACCCTAACTAACGTATATTTTAAGGTCTGTCCTTAAAAACCAAACAAATCAAATCACATTTATAATTTGATTTCATTAGATTCCGCTGTTTTATCTTATAAGTTTATTTATTTCACATACTTTTGGATATTTTGGATAAAAAAGGAGGACAGTCCTTAACTTTCAGAATATCATTACGTGAACTTTACTTCAATATTTAAATTAACAATTATACTTGTTTTTATCCAAAATCTGTTTGTATTGGCCCTTGGGAGGTCTATCGTGAGAAGAGTGTCGTCTTAGGAGTTTTATTGCTTTCTAGGGGTTTTGCTTATATAATCTCGAAGTTAAAATTTAGGGTTTTACAGCCTTAATGACTGATGCTAGTCGTTTCTAGCTGTTTCAAAGCAAGTATTATATTAATTTATGGACGTGGGATTTTACACCCAACAGAAAAATATTTAGTTTTTCTTAGAGAAACGGGTCCTTCATTCTAAACAGTTTTTACGAACTTCTGAAAAAAACCAATTTAAAGGCGGAAACACATGATACACTTTTAACAAGCTAGGTTTGTTGTCTGCTCTAAAATATTCCATTACAGTTAGTATATGACATAAATCTTGATTGATTGACATATTCAATTGTTTTCGGTCACTTCCGGTTTCACCGGAAATGACTAGAACTTTGGATTTTTAAATGGCATCCTCGGTATTTTTTTACTTTAGTGACACTCTGGATAGAATGACATATCATATGTCAACTTTTGACATTTTCGCATATGGTTTATTTGACATTGTAACCTGCGGTTCATAACGAAAATTTGACTCGAAATCGTGTGTGGTATCAAATTATTCGTAAAAAAATGCTTTTTCTAAATATGCTAATGAGCCACCCTCGTTCCATTTGAAAAAATTGAGATATGATTAAAAATACGATTTGGTTGCGATCTTTTAACCGGCCAGGACAAGACACTTAAAACATTAGACGATCAAATCTATTTTTCCATGGCCATGGCACTCTAGATTGAAATTTCAAACCAAACCAAACCAAAAACAACTGAATACGTCAATCAATCCTAATTTATCTCATATACTAACATACCAAATCTCGTTTTTTTATCTGAAAAAATAAAAAAGTTATAGGGGTGAGCCACTTTTGAGACGCACCCGATATATTTTCAGCAAGATGGGGCTCCCCCTCAAAGCTGCGAAAATATTAAAATTTTGTTAAATTATTATTTCTCAAATCAATGAATTGGAACCAATGGACCCATATGATGGCGTCCGTGATTCCCGGATTTGTCCGTTCCCGATTTTGGGAATTTTTGAAATATGAAATATATCGTGGCAATTACAACAATATCGAACACCTGGTAAATACTTTAATAATGCAAGCTTTTAGATATTTGTAAACCAGTCCCGTTATAAAAAAAATATATTCAAAACAGTTCAAAAGTAAAATATATCAATCCCAAATAAAATTTTGAAATGTGTTGTATGACTATTTTAGTAAATACCATTTTGATTTTTTGTTATTTATCACTGCGTACTAATATAAGAAAATGATATATTTTAAATATTGCAGTAAATAGTGAAAATAAATATAGAGTGATATATATTTTTGAGAAGCTCATAGCAAGACGGATCATACGATTTATAAATATACAGGGCGTTCCATTTGAAAACATAACTTTAGTTCAGATTTTCAAAAAAAAATTTTGTTGTAGAAAAACTACTAACTATTCTACGTAAAAAGTTCTACAAGAATCAGTGTTCACCTTCTCGATATCATCAACAATAACGGAGATACGGTGTCCCGTTTCTTCTGGCATCTTTCGTTTGACAAAAAGTGAGACAGGTTTGTGCATCCTCCTATCTTTACTAACAACGGAAATACCGTATGATTTCAACCAAAATGGGACACCCCGTACAGGGCAACCTGTGCTAAAGAACCACTTTTGCCAACTGAGCGGTTTTCCCGATAGATCTAGCGGTTTATTTTTCAGTTTAGCGGGAATAAATATTATTTAGCGACCAGCGGGTTTTTTAGCGGTTTATACATTTTTGAATAAAATATAAGTAAAAATGACACAAAAATTATTATTAATAAGAATATAATTAATATAAGAATATATGATTATTACGCGATTATTGAGGCAAATTTTGAAAAAAAATCGTTTTTTAGAATTGAAAAAAACGATTTTTTTTTCAAAATTTGCCTCAATAATCGCGTAATAATCATATATTCTTATATTACCTAGGCCTTCAATGTCACGTTAAATTCATCTCATCGGGTCATGAAAGCTCTAATAAAAGGTTCAAAAATAGGCGAAAACCAATGACTAAAGACTTAGGACTAATAACACCCGAGACCAAATTGTTACTATACCACCAAACAGTGCCGTGTCACATATTTTTCTTAGCTACTTGAAGAGATATTTATATTTTTGATAAATGTTTTGACTATGCCTATGGTGTATGGTGTGGTATCATGCTAATTAATTACGAAAAAAACGTATTAAAATGTTAACAAAAAGTACTAGTATCAACGTATAGCACATATCAAGTACATATAATATCAGAAAAATAATTATCGAATTCAATAAGAAAACTAAGAAAACGCTAAAAAGGTGGCGTG